TATATATATATACACCTAAACTATGGGATTTATGGTACGTTACTATATTTGGGTCATGCAGGCATTTGTCCATCAACCGTATCAGTTACTATCATTCAGCCCTCAACCCCGAGCCTCACCGTGGTTCTAAGCTTGGCTGAACTGGCCCTCGGATGTATCTGATATAGCAACACCAGCAAAACCACCTTCCCCCTCCCTTCAGACCCCTACAAGCCAGACCCCAAACCGAAACCTACGCCAGGCTTGACAATTCAACCCATCAGCAGCCGCATGCTTGCAATCTTACATGTTCAACCTCGAACGCACTTTCCCAGACCCTCAACCCCCAATCCCTGAAGCCCTGAAACCCTGAACCGAAAACCCTTAATCCTAAAATGGTGAAATCTCAACTCTTCATCCCAGCAGCGCAACCTTTCAATCACCTCACACTTATAAAGAGTTATAGAGCTTCTATTTCCGGGCACCTTCGATGCCTAAACTGGCCCCAAACCCCAAAGGCGGTTCACGGTTCAGGGCTTATTGGGATTTTGGGGGGTTCAGGCGTTCAGGAGTTTGGGAGCTGAGGGTTTAGGCGCTTCCCTGCCTCAGTAAACCCTAAACCCTATAAGCCCTATAAACCCTCAACCCTAAACTCTAAACCCTAAACCCTAAACCCTAAACCCTAAACCCTATAACCCTATAAGCCCTATAAACCCTAAACCCTTAACCGGGCCTCGCAGTGTGGTGGAGCGGAATCCATGGTCCAAGCCATCAAGGCCCATCAGGGCCGCGAAGAGGCGGCTGCTAGGGTTTAGGGTTCAGGGTTTATAGGGTTTAGGGCTTAGAGCGTTTAGGGTTCAGGGCTTAGGGCAGGGTTTAGGGTTTAGGGCTTAGGGTTTAGGGCTTTGGGTTTAGGGCGTTTAGGGTTCAGAGTGTAGAGGAGGTTTGAATAGTAAGTTCCGGCTTTGGTGCACATGGTAGCGACGAAAGTATGCTCCCTGCTCTCGTGGCAAAGTTTGGGGATTTTGGCATGTGTGGGATTCAGGCGTTCGAAGGGGGTCGAGGGCTTTAGGGTTTACGACGTTTACGATTTCAGTTGCTTTTAGGCTTGCAGGTTTTCGGGTTAGTACTCGAATTAAACCCTAAACCGTTAAGGGTTTTTAGGGTCGGATTTGCGGGTCTCGAGTTTGAAGTTGCAGGATATCAGGGGATAGCAGTCTTCGGCTGCTTAGGGCTCACTACGGGTGTTTGACGTTTGGTTTTTATGCTTAGGGGCCTGAATAATTAGAGTCGGGTCCCGAGAAGTGTGAGAATTTTCCGCTGTGTAATCGGGGTTCTGAGACACCGGGGTTTAAAACAACCAAGTGATTAGCGCAGTAGTGTAGAATCAGCATGTCAGGCAGTCCTGGGGATGTTGGTCCAAAAGGCCGTACTCGTTGGAGGACACTGTAGCAATCCTGAAGATATCAACGTTCCATGCGCCCTGAGCTCTGAATGAAGGGAGCCAAGACATCCTGACGCATTATATTAACCCGAAGCCCTCAACCCTGAGAGACTTGACTGCTCAACACCTGGCACACGCAAATAGCATCGCCTCCCCAATTTGGTCCCTGCAGGAACCGCACGATCAGAGAAGAAGTAGAAGACAAAAAGCAGACAAGCTCTGCTAAACCCTGAACCCCAAACCCTAAACCCTGAAACCCCTACACCCGAAATTTTCAATCAACCCTGAACCCTACTCTCAGTTCAAGCCCGAACCCTAGGCCGTGGCAGCTCCACGAGACACCCCGAGACCCAACTGATTCAGAACCCCCATGCTTAACTCGAAAGACTCTAAACCTTGAGCCTTGAACCTGATAAGTCCTAAACCCTAAACCCTGAACCCTGAACATTACACACCCTAAACCCTAAACCCTAAACTTCACCATTAAGTGCCCCTGTCTTCGAAGGTCGTCGAACACGCGTGCCAAGCGCTGTATCTTCTCGCCAACTACACGGAGCTTCGGTTTTGCACTCGGCGTGAAGGTGTAATGCTAGTTTTGTTAGTAGCATTTTTAGGGTTGCTATACGGGTTGGTGGTAGAGTTACTAAACGGGGTTTTATAATGGCGATTGCAACGGTGCCAATAATACGACTATTCTGCGGTACTCTAACAAATGTTCTATACGGGTTACTACGCGAAATTCTAGAGGGTCACTATAAGGGTGATGCAAATGTTCGGGATTTTGCTTTGTTCTGCATGGTCGTGGTAGTCTGGGGTGTTTAGCTAGAAGAGCCTAAACGCTAAACCCTAAACCCCGAAACCTACGTAATTGGTTTGGGCCTAGGGTTGGAAGCATGAGTTGAGGTATCATTTTGTTTTTTCCTTTGCAGGGCTTTGGGTCTAGCTTTGGGAGTTAGGGTTTGGGTCTCAATCTGTGTTGTTGCGCCCTGGCTTCATGGTGCATGGTATTAGGGGTGTGCTCCGTTGGAACCCTATACTATACCCTGGATGAACCCTAAAGCCTAAGGCCCTGGGCTGTACTAAAACCTAAATCCTGAAACCTATCGTCAGAGTGAAGAAGGCCAACAAAACCCCGGCCCTTTCCTTGGCCCCTAAACCCTAAACCCTAAACCCTAAACCGTGCATTGAAGAGCCCTCAACCCAAAACCTAAACTCCAAGACTGAGCCCGAACGGCCCCCTCCCCGAGAGAAAAAGTAGTAAGCGATAATGTAAATAGAAGTGCAGTCAGTAAAAGATTCGAAGTATGGGCCCCTAATATGGACCCTTAGGCCTTTCTAGGGACCCTTAAGGCTACATATAGGGTATATAGTAGGTGTATAAGGGTTTCAGGGTTAAGGGCCCATGCTAGGGGCCCATGGTTTCAACCTTGGAGTCAGGTCAAACAAATAGAAACACAAGAATGCAGATGTGTCTGCGTAGCTATATACACACATGCGGAACAGCCATGGTAAGAGCAACTGAATAAATCTTGTTTCTGATGGTCATTACCCTACGCCCTAAACCCTAAACCCTAAACCCTAAGCCCTAAACCCTAAACCCTCAGCCCTAAGCCCTAAACCTCATAGAGTTCCTAAAAAGCCCCATGCTTCGAGCCCCAAACTCCTTTTGACTCCGAAAACCAGAAGCAGGTACTGGTTGTATAGAGTTTTAAAATTTAGGGTTTAGGGTATGTAGGGTACATAGGCCCCTAAGCCGTAAACCCTATGTACCCTAAGCCCTATGTAGTACATAGGGCTTAGGGTACATAGGGTTTACGGCTTAGGGTACGTAGGGTTTAGGATAGTTTAGGATATGGGGTTTAAGGTTTATAGGCTTTAGGTTCCTGAGTATTTGCAGGAGAAAAAATTCTGGGGTTAATTAGAAAGTATGCTCCGAACATCTTGGAGCTTCTCCCAAGGCCGAGTGTGGTGGCAGCCAACGCTGCGGAAGCAGCTGCACTGGCGACCACGCGCATGGCCTAGAGGGCGACAGCTAAACCACAAACCCCAACAAATTTCACGCGATTTCAATAAGCCTGAACCCAAGCCTTAACCGAATCTCGACGGATCCTTAACAACCCCCGCAACCCTAAACCCTAAATCCTTTAACATGAAGCCCCAGATTCCGACAACTTTAACCCCCAAAAACCGGGTTCAGGATGCGGGCTATGGTTTAGGGTTGCCCCTTAAAAACGTAACGCGCTTGTGACCTCAACCGCTCCTCAACCCCAACCCAGCTTTCCAAGACTCGAAACCCCCACAGCCCCAAACCCCTGCAGCCTCGACAGCCCTACACCCGACAAGCACGAATTTACGAAGCGCCAGGAGTCTTAGCCGCTGAAAGCGAAAACGTCTAAATATCGCCCGTGCAAAAGTTCTACAAAGCCCCAAGCTCCTAAAGCCACAAGTCCTCAGTCCCTACCCGTTGTTACAACCTGACAGCCACATGAATCTACCCCCCCGTCGCCAGGCTCACCAAAAACGCCTAATTCAAAGCTTGCCACAGTCCTTATGAGCTCCCTAAACCCCTAATTTGAAGCCCTAAACCCTAAACCCTAAACCCTAAACCCTAAACCCTAAACCCTAACCCCTAAACCCTAAACCCTAAACCCTAAACCGCTAAATCCTAAACCCTCCCCAAGCCCTAGACTCCCTTGACCCTAAACCCTTAAAGAGAGGCGCTTCAAAAAACCCGAAACCCGAAAACCCAAACCCTAAACCCTAAACCATAAACCGAAGCTCTTAGAACCCTAATACGCTGGAAAAACTTCGCGAATCCCTGGCATCTGTTCATGTGAACCCTAAATCACACCGCTTTACGACCCGACCACCTCCACGAACCCTCAAACCCTGAACCCACATAGCCCTGTGGTAGCGCACATCTCCCTAAACTTCCCTAAACCCTAAACCCTAAACTTCTAAATCCCTCCTAGAGTCCAAAACTTTGAATCACCCGGTGAAGCCCATACCCTCAACCCTCAACCCTATGGTTTAGGGTTTAGGGGTCTAGGGTTTAGGGGTTCAGGGTTTAGGGTTTAGGGTCTAGACCCCTAAACCCCTAAACC